CACTCTCACCCCCTACCACCCATTCTGCTATAGGGACAGTAACCTCCTGTTAAAACATAATATCAAACTGAGGGGAGAGTATGTCAAAATGCACCATACAAGCTTCCTCTGAAGGATATTTAGCTGTACTTTTTGATGGCTCGGTGTACTGATATGGCTGTATGACTGAAACTTTGAAAAGTCTCATTTTGCATCTCCTTCCCTTTGTACAGTTCCTTTATTAGGTCCAAATGAGTTTTTTCATCATCAACCCCATGTCCGTAAGAACTTTAAAAATTCCTTCTTCAGCAACTAATTCACCCTCTTCCTTAGGCATGTGGTACCATAGCTATTATGCTTTCGATATTTGAAGTAGCTTGACAGAACAAACTTTGCTCTTTCTTATTTTTCTAGAAGGCAGTGAAACCACCCTATTAATCTAAATTCATGCAACTGACCCTGGTGTTTTTGCAGTTTTTACAGTTACACTTTGCTTTAATGAACTGCAAAAATGTCACATGTTCTTATTAAATAGCTGCCTCTAAATAAATGAGAAAGTAAATAAATTGGTAACATTCAAATCCCAGAACAGCCATCATGTGCAGATTTGGTTTTCATAACATATACATTTAGTACACGAGAAATGAACTTGACAGAAATTTGGTTTCAAAGGAGAGTTTTCAAAAGACCAAGTATGCATCTGTAAATAATATCTCTCTGCCACCATGAAATCTAAACAGACCTTTTCAGCTGTTCAAATTAATACTTCCTGGACTGAGGAACCTATTTTAGATCCATTGTAATCTTTTTATTTATTTATGTGTAAGACCTTTAAATTATGCTGTCATTATAAGACAAGTGTCAATTACTCTGAATATAAAATTTGCTTGAAATAATAACCAAGTTATGAATGTTTTCTCTCCAATTTGAATTCCTTTCAAAATTTTTATCCTACATTATGGTCTGTCTTTTATTTCTTCTTTAATTAACTGATTTTTTTTCTTCATATCAAACTGGTTCTAAAACCAGTGAAATCATCCGTTTCCTTTAACTTTATACCACTTTCATACTTCCTTCAAACTTTTGCCAAGCTTTCTTCTAGAATAAATACAAACTGTTTTACTTGACTGCTTTCTATATAGAGTATATTTTAGTGCCTATGAATGGTACAAATAAAAGGGAATTACGAAGTCAATTTCATTACTTGATAGGGGCTAGAGTTAAAAAGATTATTCTGCAAGACTGTGTCCCTACACTCTGACTCCCATGTCTACTGCTCATATCAGAAAGGTTCTTTCCATCCACTAAAATCGGTTTCAGTTAAGAGATATCATCATGACAGAGTTAGTAAAATATGCTTTTCTGCAAGCCGAAGCATGACAGTCCCCGCTTGGTACTTTTACAAGAGACATAAAAATACTTTGTGATGAAGAACTTGTAATTGACTTAGGGAATGAGGTAAAACCACAGTGAGGTGGATTCATAGCACACAGGCTGCTTGCCACAGAATGAAAAGTACAATGAAGTGTAAAAGCTTCAACTGCATCAGTGATTTATGCAAGGACTTTACATAACATGGATTCATATGATGTGGAATGGGCAATAGCAATCTGCCAGCAGCCAAAAATTAATTGTTGGGCTCCAAAACCAACTTAAGTATGTTTTGGAGCCCAAAACATAACTTACTAATTAAGCCTAAAACATAACATTCTTAGAGTTGGTTTTGGAGCCATGAACATTTGGTTCCATCACTGGTGAAGCATTCTTATGCCACTAAAATGTGACAATGTAATAAAATATCAAATTCTGAAATCAGAACTTTTAAATTCTTTGAAAGTTTCTTGCTGGAGGACTAACAATAACAATATAGAGAAAAGTGAAAATTTCTGTTTGCTTATCTTCTTATTCTCCATACTTTGTATATACAAAGCAAAAGAATAGACGTGAGAAGTCCAGAAACAAAATTCCTTCAATGCAGTCCACAAAGACTGCTTCTCTTAGCCACAGCCTTTCCACACCAGTTGAGATGCTAACTGGAAGAGAGCTAATGTGATAAAGACAAAGATCCCCCAAGCTGCTCATGGCCATGTTTATTTCAGTCTTCATCTGCATACCCAGAGCTGCCTAAGAGACTGTGTGTGCTATTGTCTTGTAAAGTGTTAACATTTTAATATTTAGACATTTGTGGTAAAATTTAGGAAGTATATACATGGCCCTAGACCAAAAGAATTTATTTATACAGTCCTCATATAACTAGCTAGGCACTAAAACTTTCACCTGTAAAACTAGTTAGAAACTCAAGCCCCAGAAAAGTCAAAGGTGTTACCACCTGGGCTGAATTTAACACCTCACCTTCAGCTGGAATTCACAAGTCATACACCCCAAACTGTCAGGCTTCTTGAAGCACCTGTCTACATGTACCACATTACAACCAATCTGATTTCAGTGGAAAAAGACCTTATCCCGATCTATGTTGATGGTCAATGTCAACACTTGCCATTTTGATTAAATGATTAAAGGAATCACCCTATAACTTGAGCATCAGAGTAGAAATATATCAACCAAAGAAAGCAAGTCTTCTCTCTCAGCTGCTGACTGGGATCAATCTTGTTGAAGTGCCAACACTATAAAGAAAGAACACATGATTAATAGATCAAAGAGTGCATAAGAACACAATTCCTAAGTCAGATAATTCTGGGGAAGAACAGGAGAAGAAGGGAGAATTCTATGTTTTAGACCTGCTCCCAATCTCATGTCTACATTTTGTTCAATTAGTTTGTCATGAAAAAATCTTAACTTTCTTGAAACAAGAACCAGCCTGAGCACTGCTATGCCTTGAGTGCTCTGCTGGTCTGGAGCCGAGTACACGGCTCAGGCATATTGAATAACTACATCTGGAGCTATTGTTTTGATTACAGAAGAGATTTCACAATTTCTAAAATATGTAGGTTCCCCAGTTTGCAGTAAAAGCTTCCCTGATGCTTCTAGATCTTCAAATATTTTGGGGAAAAGTACCCACGTTTCACTAACAGTTATCCAAGGTTTCAGTAACAGTGTGTTCCAGACCATAAATCAAAAACCTTTGCCTCACAAGAATTTATGTTTTGAGTACCCAATAAAAACATAAAATAATAGCAAGCCAATAAAAACCTTTATACCAGAAACTCTATGTTTCTGGAGTTAGTCTGGAATATCAGGAAGATCAAGAATTACCAAATGCAAACCAGTAAAGAGTTTATCATCAGAACATTGCTAAAGAGACTACCCTTTTTGGGCCTGCAACAGATTTCAGTATGGCAAATGCATAGGCACACCGAAACCAACAGAGTAGCAGAGCAGAGATTCCCAAATGTGAGGAATCTCCCCATAGGTACCTTCACTTCCTATACTTAATAATAGTTCTGAACAGAAACATGCTATAAATACTTGAACTGGGTGAAAACATAGAGCATGAGTATGACCTTTTCTCCTTTTCAATTCCCAACCTTTACCTGCAAAGATTTTTCTTCTCTGCATCACAGATCTGACTCTCAATTACAGGGGAGGAAAAGAAACAGCATCACCTTTACGGTACATACATACTTAACAATGGCCTGACAGTCCACACTTTCTTCTCCCTACCCATTCACCATGAGACCTTCCTTCCACCTTTATGGACCCCTGTATATGAGCTCCTTTCCCTACTCTCGTTTACAGCACTGGAATCTTAGGGCTAGGAAGAGGAAGTTAAATATAACTGAACCACTGCTGACACCTGCTGTCCACCCTGAGAAATCTGTTTTAATCAGGTCTGAGGTACTTAATACAGGGAAATATAAGAAAAAAAAAAAAAGATAATAATTAAAAAAAAAAAAACACACACACACAAAACAAAACAGGTATCTCTCTTCCTCAGTTCTCAGACTCACAATGTTGCAGGTCCAGGGAGCAGAACTGGGTGCCAAGTGGGGACCTACAAAAAGGAGTTACAAACCACCTCACTGCATAACATAAGCTTTTCTAGCACCAATTTGAAGTGAAATTTCAACCAATATGGAGAAATAAGGTGAAAAACTGCCTCACCCTGCAAACAGTGTGGGATCGTTGAGCCACCAGGTAAACAAAAAGGATTCCTGTGATATGCCCAGCTACTAAATGAGGCTTCTAGACAAGATGATTTACATACTGAATATGTATGTAACAAAGTGCAAATGAACAGAAACATCTTATAGGAAACAAGGCAGTGAATGGCAAAGCACAGTATCAATGAAAGCAAGATACAGACATCAAGTGAAAAAACAGGGCTTCATCTCTAAGGTTACCTACGCTTTATTACATAAATACTAGAATCAACCAGAACTATGAACACCAACTTCCCTCTAAAGACAAAACCCTTAGTAGGTGGCAAACAATACGCAAAAAATCCTCGAACACGGAGCAACCCTTTTTTCTTTCTAAGTTACGAAGGCACCAGGACGAGAACACGTTCTGCAGGTGTCAGCGGTGGGAGTACCGAAGAGCCAGCCCCAGCAGCCCTCCGTAGGGACCCCAGCGGACACAGCCATCGGGGGCCACGGCTGCGCGCCAGCACTTTCCCCCGAACACAAAGGACGCGGGCAAGCCGCTGCAGCCACAGCTCACGAAAGGAAAACACCCCGCTCACACCTAAGCAGGGCACAACCAAGTAGGCACGTCTCCTCTGTAGGTAAGTTTTTTCCTTTTATAAAGCAGAACGTAGACACACCGCACAGGCTCCTTTATGGAAGCCTATCACCTTCACGCCGTGACACTTAAAGGACACGGCGCGTTTCTTTCTCTAAACTCCACAGTGCGAGGATATAGGTCTCAAAAGGCATCGCGGCGCAAAACTAAAGGCCGTCTACTAAGAGCAGACCCGAAGGTGCCCTGGCAGCAGAAAGGCTCTAAACTGTATCGCCCGCCTGCCCACCCGGCCAGGTGGCTACCGGTAGCTCGGCGCAGCTCCGCCCCGCACGGAAGCTGGCAGCGGCCGTTGCCGCCTTTGCGCAGGCGCAGAGCAGTGCCGGGCCGCGTAGCACCGCCCCGGCTGGGCAGGCTCTGGGCGAGGCCGCCCCATCCCGCCGGCCGCGCGCCCCCGTCCGTCCGTGGCCCCAGTGAAGCCGGCACCGCCCGCTTCCTGCTGCGCCCCAGCAGCGCCGCCTGGTTCGCCGCTACCCCCTTTCCCCCCCTCCCTCCGAACAGCGGCTGGAGCCTGCGAGGCGGGGCGGCCGGGCCAAGCGAGGAGATGAACACGGTGCTGTCCCGGGCCAACTCGCTCTTCGCCTTCTCTTTGAGCGTGATGGCGGCGCTCACCTTCGGCTGCTTCATCACCACCGTCTTCAAGGAGCGCAGCGTGCCCGTCAGCATCGCGGTCTCCCGGGTCACGCTGTGAGTGCGGGCGGGAGAGGGGAGGGAGGGAGGGAAGGAAGGAGGGGCGGAGGAGGGCCGGGCCGGCCGGCGGCTGCCCGCTGGGGAGGGGAAGGGTTTGGGAGCCTCGGCTCTTGCTGGGCTGGCTGCCGAGGGGCCTCTGTGGAGAGGGTAACGGCCGGGGTGCGCGGGGAGACGTTAGCACCCGCCGCGACCGGAGGCCTGCCGGTGCTGCCGCCGAGCCCCGCTTCCTGCCCGCTCCCTCGCTCCCGGCCGGGGCCAATGAGCGAGCCCCACGACGGCACTCCGCCGCCTCGCCGCCCGGCCGGGTGGGAGCTGAGGCGGCGCCGCTCGCGTTGGGCGGTTCGCCGCTGGTCCATTCGCAGGGGATGCCGGCGGGAACCGCGGTGCCCGGGCAGGCGGGCTGGCATAACACCATGCTTGCGAACACCAGCCGCGGTCTCTGTGTCCGGGTGGTGACAGGGGAGTCGAGCCAACTGCTTTTGGCAGTTCCGTGAGTGCAAGGACCTTAATGAACTGGATTTAGTTTAGTACCGGTTGTATCAGTAGTTCCCTTAGATTTTTCCATTGGCAAAGTATTTTTCTTTCTTTTTGGAGAGGTCTGTGACAGCAGACTGTCTGGGATGGCGTATCATCCGGTGAAATGCACCAGGTGTAGAATGCATAATAACCACATCAAAAGCATGTTGCCCTCAAGACACAGTGTGCTGATGCAGACTTGTGCCACAGGAACTATTTTTCAATTTTCCTATTATGTTTTTTTCCATTAGGAAACTGTCACAGAAAACTTCCGTAAAGCTAAATATGTATGATGCAAGGGGCTGTCGTTTTGCAAGCAGCTGAACAGCTGCTACTGACAGCAAAAAGTGGTGGTCTTTGCTCCTGCTTTTAGCTTTGTAGTCCTTTACCAGAGCCACACAGGGGAAGTGGGCTCATAGGATGCTTTACTGAGCTACTTTAAGTAGACTAATGAGTTTGGGGTTTTTTTTTTGGCCAAGTTAGTGACCTAAAGCAGCTCATGGAGCTTCGGAGCCCCGCCAGGTAAGTGACATGAGTGGATGGCTAGCAGCAGGGTTTGATAGGGGAGATGAATGCAAATAAGGAGAACTGCCACCATCTTTTGGATTGGTTTAAAACCTGTGGAAAAGGAATCCTGTATTTATGCTAAATTGAGGATTGTCAGCAGCATAAAACTGGTATGAAAGCAATGTCTGAATGTTCCAGTGAATTTGACATCTGTGAGGTCGCATACTAATGCCTAATTTGGATGAAATCTATACTGCCCATACCTTTTTTGATGCAGATTGGTATTAATGAGAGGCGTTATACCTTACTTGCATTTTTGAACTTACTCAGAAGTTCTGCAGACCTCCAGATTTAAGGCCTGATATCCCACCAGATTGTGATTCATAAATGTAGTCAAGTGCTAGGTAAAGGTTGGTATATAAAAGGTGTTGCTTTTTGTAAAGGGATGGAAATTCATAACAAGGTTTAAATGGGGAAGTTTTGGTGGTGTTTTTCTTAACTACCATCTCCAAAACTGTATGCGTGTGTGGGGGATGGTTCTGCTACTGAAATTTTTGTTTGAGGTTACTAAGCTTAGTGTTAAGGAAATGATACTTTAATGGATTAATTTTTAAACTGGAGTAAATATAACTAGGAAATTCATAATTCATGAAATTTTTGTTATATGGAAAATTAAGGTTCATAGTTTATTGCCAACATGCTTATGGTATTCTTTTAGAGTGTAAGTTTGGTGAATTGGTAAGCTCTGTGAATACCTATGAAAATACCTGCTGTGTCCCTGTTACTTTCCAATCTCTTTTTTTAATGTGGTTTAGTGTGGCAAGGTTAGATATTCCTGCACATGTGGATTTGTAATAGTTTTCCAAAACTTTATGGGTTTTTTTGTACTGTAGAAGAATATAAGCATCTTTATACTGCTACTTAGAAACGTTCCAGGGAGAAATCTTATAAGTTGTGGGGGAACTGCAAACAAACTCTGAGTTAGAGTTTCTTGTATGAGACTGAGCACTAGAGGCTTTTCTTTTTATGGAAACTTGAGAAATAATAATGAAAATGGTTGCCAGCAAACAGCTGTACTGCTGGTGTTCCAATTAGCTTTATATCTTTGGGGATGGCTAACATGTACTGTACTGTAATGGAATGTAGGGCAGTTCAGGTACAGAAAAATACAGATTTTTGTTAACAGGAAAAAGTCTATAGGCTATTTGTGAAACTTGGGCTACTATGGTGGCAAGGCCTCTCACTCGAAACTGGGGCTACATAATTTCAGGAGGGCAGGTTTTATTTTTAATGTTGATTAGATATTTTGACAAAAATATTTCAAAGAAAGTACAGAAAACAGACGGAAATATGTCATAAGAATAATAGTGTATGTAATGCATGAAAGAGAAATAATGAGAAAGTCTAATTTTGTGTTTTGTTTTGTCTTAGAAAAAATCTAGAAGATTTCACTGGACCTAGAGAAAGAAGCGATCTGGGATTTGTTACATTTGACATTACTGCAGATATCCTTAATGGAAAAAGTGGTTTGAAAACATTTTGAAATAATATCTTGACATCTGTTTTAGTTACTTATAATCTTCAGATATTCAAGACTTGAGGAAAAATAGCAATTTGTCTTAAAATATAAAGCAGTGAAAAGTAGTGTTTTACATAGCTACAGCAGTAAAACAGACCTTAGAACAGCTGTTCCATCTCTATTAGATGCCATAGGGCAAGTTATTTTCTCTGGTTTTAATGCCTGTTTTTAAAATCAGACTCTTGGTGAAGTGCCCTGTATGTAATAATGAGAAGTGGAGTTTAACATCTGGACAATATTATCATTAAGTGAAGTTGATATTAGTGGTTTGAGGTGTATATTAATTATAGGGTTTATATAGCATACGATTTTGACTGTCATCCTCAATCTAGAAATTCTGATGCAGCTTTCAAACTTATTTTGTTGTTAGGCTTTTAAAGTTCTTGCCACATAATAGTTGCATATAAGTACGTGTCTTGTATTTCTCTGCTTTCTTGCTAGTCTGGTTTTTACTGGGGAAAGTGTGTTGTGTCAGGGTGGTTTTGGTTGATTTTGGTTGGCTTTTTGACAGCAGAAAGAAATAATTCTTAGGATTTAGAGTCTTGACATAATAAAAAATGCTGTGTTTTTCTGCAGAAGTTGGTACCTAATAGAAGGCAATGTGCTTTACCTCAGGTGGTTTACACTAATCCTTGCCTTGCAGCTGGGCTCAGATTCCTGAGATTTTTCCCTGCCTGCTGTTTTTTTGTCGCTCTGTTAGCCAAGGCATTACCTCTGTGTTTTGGTTTCCCTGTTTTGGAGAATACTACTTTGTGTAGGCAAACCAAACAAAATACAAATCTTGAATACATGTGAAAGCTGGATAAAAAGGTTAATCAGATTTTTGCAGGTGTGTGTGCCACAGGAACAAGAGGGATGTTTTTTTATCAGCTGGAAGCAGGAGAGGTGAACTGAGTTAGACTTCTGAAATGCTTATACATGTTAAAACCAGAAACTAAAATTCTAAAGTAGGTGAACCAAATTGTACACAGCGCATATAGGGGGAGGCAGAGCAAGACACTGAAAGAAGTGTTCATATACAAGGATTAGTCTGCAATATACAGACATAAAGATTCCATGTTTTAATGACTGTTAATAGGAGAGTAGCTTTAAAATTTGTTTGAGGAAAAACTGACTTAATCGTTCTTGCCTGGCATAAAAAAACCTTGCAGTGTGTAGAGTTGTAAAAAACAACTTTCTGTTAGGTGTTTTTTTGGACAAAAATCTTAGTGATACTGGTTCATGGGCTCTCTTAATTAACGGAAATAAGTTGTTAGTCCTAGAAAAGATAAAATTACAGAAAAAGAAACTAGGGAAAGAAAAGCTGAGGAGGCAGCTCTTTTTAACTTAGTTAATTAATGGCTAACTTTAGCAGGTGTTAAGAAATCCTACAGAGTAGTTCTTCACAATCTTGTTTGTTGTTTTGAGTTAGATGGCAAAAAATGTTCAAGTAAAATAGCTCCAGCTATTCTTGTAGCAGCATCATTTAAATAATTCTTTCCTTATTTGCCTTTTGAATTAGTGGCTTAAGAACATCATTCAGTTTTTGGATGAGTGGAACAAGATAAAACATTTTTTTAAGTCTGATTGGGGAATCTGCTTAATTTGTTCTTTGAGATAGCTGCAAATGTAATAATTATAAAAAAAAAAGCATTGGGAAATAAAAGGTTACAGCTAATCTTTATAGTTAGTTAAAAGGCCTTTTGCTTAGCAGTCACACTCTGCATTTTACTGTTAGACGACCAGACAAGTATTTAGAATATCAGCTTTATTGCATGGGCAGTCTCAAATGGCAGTCATCAGCTTTTTATTGTTGATAAAAAAAACTGGGCAGAGTAAGCTGACTTTCTTTGTAGTAAGTAGGTAATTACATTTTTGTTTTTTACAGAATTACAATTTCTGATGTCCCTTCTGATATGAAATACTTCCCACCTAATAACTTCTTCATTGTCGGTATTGCAGGCTGTTTGAACTCTCAACCCTTCACCAATTTTGTATTTATATGTGGTTTAATACTGTTATATCGTGATCCACAGTTGGATACCAGGGTTCCTTGATAGTAGAAATAATCAGATTGAAGATATTTACTGAAGAATTCTTTCTTGCCTTTTATGTTTACAATTTTGTAATAGATTGCCTAGCAGCAGATTATGGTTACTATCTTCCAGTGTCAAACATAGAGCTCTTAAATCATTGGAGGAAATAGCCATTCGATTTCATAAATAGTAAAATATAAAACCCAAAGCCACCACCAAACCAAAAATCTGTCCCTTTAATGTGGTTATAATATATGTTAGAGCTCCTGAAGTGCTCTGATAAGAAGATGAGGTATATTGTAAGATAAGAGCTCACTGCAATTACTGTAGTCTATTTAGATCTAGTAAAAATAAAACAAGGTTATGTAAGTACAATATGGTATTTTTCTTAACTCTCATACATCTGCAGAGTATATTTGACTGGAATGTTAAACAATTGTTTCTATATTTGTCTGCAGAATATTCAACGAAAAACAATGTAAGTATCAAAAAGAAAGTTGGAGCAATTACCCATTTTGTACTGCAGCTATTTTTAACATTCTGAAGTTCTGCTGGGAAGAGTTAAGGCACCAGCATTTCCTACTACCTTGGACTTTTTTTTACTGGCCTTTGTGATTGTTATTTTCTTGACAGTTTAGCTGCAGGGTGGGAAGTTCAGCCTCATAAAGTCTAACTTAACATGTGCCCACCAGAGTGGGAGAAAAGTCGCACATCTTGTTGTTCACTTACACTGGTGTTCTCAAAATGATTTTTTTTTTCACTTATTTGCTCTGTCAGTTTTACTTTTCCCTAACATTCTGCAGTTGTCTGCTGTTAGAAACAAGATACAGTGGCCCTTGGTCTGGGCAGATGTGGTGGGTCTTCCTTTTCATGGATCCTTTTCATAGATGCCTGTACCAGTTACTGTAGCCCCAGAATATGTTTATTTTATCTCATCACACTTCTCATAATAATTGGCCTTGCTGCATCCTTGAAATTGATTGCTACTTATATTTCACTTCAGATAGCTGATCTGCTAAGACCTGTGTGGAACAGTGTACAAAAAAAAATGATTGCATTGAAACACCATGCTGCCACTGTACCACTGAATTCTAGTTGAAGCTAATAGAGTCACATTGCAAGGATATAGTGAAGGCTTGTTTTCTGTATCTTAACTTGCTGCAGAAAACTATCTCACTGGTTTTAAGTATCTTTTGTTATTTTATACATGCTGGTGGATATTCTGTTTGTACTAAAACAGTATATAGGGTTCTTTATTAGGGTCTGCGACTTCATTGTCTTGTTTCATGTTTTAGACTTTTTTTTCACATAAATCAGTAGCTCTCACAAATATTGCAAAATTTTATCTTCAAAATTGTTCTTTGTTGTTTCCATTTATTCTGTGCCACACTTTGGTGTGTAGTAGTACTAGTGTCCCTCTCTGTAAAGCGTTAATTTGTTAAATTAGTCATGGATTACAAGCATGTACTTCAGGGGTTTTAGATGAATAATTCTATGAAATTCCAGTGACTGAATATGCTCTTATAAGTTACCTTGCTGACTTAATTATAATTGTATTTTTAGGCTCTAAACCAGGTGGTACTTTGGGACAAGGTCATGTTGAGAGGAGATAATCCAAAGCTGTTCTTAAAAGATATGAAGTCAAAGTACTTTTTTTTTGATGATGGAAATGGTCTCAAGTAAGTATATCCTGGTTTTATCATTATTATTATTACTCATGGTGTCTTGATGCACTTGCATTAATTGCATTTTAGTTTCTTTTATCTTAATTTAATATTAGTGATTATTATTTAAATTGTGTAGCTTGAGTATTTGTGCTGATAGTCTTTGTTGCTTTTGCAGGGGAAACAGGAACGTCACTTTGACTCTCTCCTGGAATGTTGTACCAAATGCAGGCATTCTACCTCTTGTAACAGGATCAGGGCATGTGTCTGTACCTTTCCCAGATACCTATGAAACAACAAAAAGTTATTAAATTATAGTACTGAATCCTAAGCAAGATATTTTTATAATTCTATATTGTGAATAAATTTTACTGCGGTTTCTTCTTATACCCCACACAACCCTTCAGTGAAAGGTACCTAATTTCCTCAGGCCTAACAGCACAGGAAAAGGAAATGAAAGTTCAGGGTTGGTTTTTTTTGTTTGTTTTGTTCTGTTCTGTTTTCATTTTGGTTTTGGTTTTTGTTTGTTTTTTTAATAAAACACTGAAGCGGAAACTTAAGGGAAAGGCAAATTGCAGAGTAATGGTTTTGGGGGGGGAAACTGAGGAATTATTTTTTTGTTTTGTTTTGCTTTCTCCTGGCCATTTGGGTATTGACCTCCTTTTCTTTTAAATAAACATTTTTAAACCAGAAGATAGTCTTACTGTGTTGTGGTTTTTTTGAGGTGCTGAGGTAGTTATTTAATCTGTGTAGAAGTCAAATTTACCTGGAGTCAGTTTCTGTGAGTGCCTGAAGGAAATGTCTATTCTGTTTTGCAGCATTTTGTTTAGGGGGTTATAGTAAGGTAAGTTTGGTCCTTTCAGGACTGCCAACAGCTACTTTGAGAACTACAGGCTGACTGATAATGAACCATTACATTGTGTTTTGAGAGCCATTGATGTAGCCCACATGCAATTCTGTATTATAAAACATTTTAATAACTGCTTATAAAGCAGCTAACTGTAAGAATAAAGACATTTTTTTCAGTGTATTAAGTAGAAATCAGTAAGAAAAGTAAAAGCTTTAGGTAAAGAAAGACTGCTTACAAAATGACCACTTGATATTTATTGGGATCTGCTCAGCAGGAGCAATCAACATACTTGTTCCAGAGGGCGCTGGGACTAATATTGGGCTCTTCCATAGCAAGGAATGGATCAGATGTTCTCCAAAACAGTCTAGGAAGACATCTAAGAAATAGAAGATTTCCCATGGGAACACAGAAATTTAAACAGATTTACCAGCTTGAGCATGGATAGGAGTCTACCTTCAAGTCTTTCTGATTTGTATCAAGTAACAAGCAGTTTGTCAGCACTTCAGCCGAAGAAGTAGCCTCTCTGGCTGCAAGTCCTTCTGTGTGTGTCCTCCTTCATTCAGCTGTAACTGCAAATGCTTGTCATATTTGGGAGGACAGAAGAAACAGGTTATTAGGATTACCTCTTGGCAATAATGGTGCTTCATACTGAGTGACTAGTGTTTCTTGCTCATATATCCATTACCACCTTCCTGACAGTTCTCTGTGTACGCATGTCTTCAAACAAAGTATGGTAGAATTAATTTACTGCCAGACTCAAAAAGAGTAAACATAACCTGAAATTAGAACTATGAGGTTTTTAATACTGCAAATTAGAGGAGGGGTGAGGTGTGGAAACAAAACAAAAAACCCCAAACAAACAAAAACCAAAATGGCAACCCAGGAGAAAGGATGAGGTTTGCAGTGCCAAGCCTTTCAGCTGAAGACTGGAGCAAAGTCTTCCGTCTTTGTTGTGAGTTCACCAGAGCTGATAGATTTCGATGAAGCCAACTTGCTATTAAAAAGGGATCTTTGTGAATTATTCCTAACTATTCAGTACATTCTCCATGTAGGTGTATCAATCAAGAAGGTGTTGAAAAAATTTCCGAAAGGTGCTTTGTCTTTACAAACAAAATTTCATTTAAATGTGAAAATTAAAAATTTTTCACAGGAATGTTTTAGGACAATTTTTCATTTGTATCTAGTGTATTTACATGAATTTCAGTTCTCTGAACTTTTGCTGTTTTCCACAGATAAGCCTAATCGGCACACTGAGGACCCTATTATTTCTGTGCTTTGATATCAAATGTGTATATTGTTATAAAAACTGTTACAGATATTTTAATACTGTCATATAGGAGGAAAGGGGAAAAATACTTTCCTTAGAAATAATTGGGCTAAGTTGTGGAGTTTTGTTAATTGCCAAATTAAATTTTGTGTTTATTCATAAATTATATTCCTGAAATGTTTATTGAAATTTATTTCTGTGGCTTGGCATTCAACCACTTCCTTGTATTCCTTTGACAGTACTGTTATAATGTGTTAGTATGGGCTGTCTGTGAATGATACTTTAACTATAAAGACAAGGATCTATTGTCAAAAAACTCCAGGGATAAATCTACCTTTTCCTCCAGTATGGTATATTCCTCCCAGCAGACAGTAGCAGAATTTTAAGGTACTATAATTGTAGCTTTGGACATGATGCTTGAAGCTTTTCTAGCCTTTCCCAGTGAAGGGAAATTATGTTTGAAGTCATTAATTTAGAGGGATGAAAAAGAAACCATCACTGAGTTCAAGTTCTTAGGGGGAACTTTTTTTCCTGAGGGGAAGGCCAGCATAAATAAGCACTTAAATGATACTCTAATAGCTTGCTTTTTGCTTCTCAGCCACCAAACAGGGCAGGATGCTCTGTTTTATTCTTGGTTCAGGGAGAAAGGACGCAAATTGGTACGAGTGATACAGTTGTGGGGGTCTATTATAGATCTCCTGATCAGGATGAAGGAGTTGATGAGGCTTTCTACAGGCAACTGGAAGTAGCCTCGCGACTACATGCCTTAGTCCTCACGGGGGATTTTAACTATCCCAATATTTGCTGGAAGACTCACACAGCCAAACATTCACAGTCTAGGAGGTTCCTCCAGTGCATTGATGATAACTTCTTAATGCAAATGGTGGACAAACCAACTAGGAGAGGAGCATGATGATAACTTCTTAATGCAAATGGTGGACAAACCAACTAGGAGAGGAGCACTGCTAGGTTTAGTACTCACCAACAAGGAGGGTTTGGTTGAAGGGGTGGTGATCAATGGCAGCCTTGGCTGCAGTGACCATGAGATGGGGGAGTTTAGGATCCTGTGTGGGAGGAATAGAATACCTAGCAAGGCCACAGTTCTAGATTTCCGAAGGGCCAACTTTGGCCTGTTCAATCAACTGCTAAGAGAAGTCTCATGGGAAAGGGTACTAGCCGGTAAAGGGGCTCAAGATAGTTGGTCAACATTCAAGGACCACTTCTTCCAAGCTCAGGATCTGAGCGTCCCAATGGTCAGGAAATCAAGTAAGGGAGCTAGGAGAAGAGCGTGGTTAAACAAGGAGCTGCTGGGCAAACTCAAGTGGAAAAGGAGAATCTATGGATTATGGAAGGGGGGGCTGGCCACTTGGGAGGAATATAGAACAGTTGTTAGAGGATGTAGGGAGGCAATTAGGACAGCTAAGGCCTCCTTGGAACTTAATCTTGCTAGTTGGGTAAAGGACAATAGAAAGGGCTTCTTCAAACACATAGCAAACAAAACTAACACAAGAGGCAAATATAGGCCCACTGCTGAACAAGGTGGGTGCCCTGGAGACAGAGGATATAAAGAAGGCAAAGGTGCTGAATGCCGCCTTTGCCTCTGTCTTTACTCCTGCAGACACTCCCCGGGGGCCCCAGATTCCTATTGTCCCAGAAGGAGTCAGGACAAAGGAGGAGTTTGCTTTGGTAGATGAGGATTGGGTTAGGGATCAGCTATGCAATCTAGACATCTATAAATCGATGGGTCCGGATGGAATGCACCCACGGGTGCTGAGGGAGCTGGCGGAGGTCATTGCTAGGCCACTCTCCATCATCTTTGGTAAGTCATGGGAAATGGGAGAGGTGCCTGAGGATTGGAGGATGGCAAATGTCACACCAGTCTATAAGAAGGGCAAGAAGGAGGACTCGGGTAATTATAGACCGGTCAGCCTTACCTCCGTCCCTGGAAAGGTGATGGAACAACTTATTCTTGACTCCATTTCTAGGCATATCAAGGATGACGGGGTTATTAAGAACAGCCAACATGGTTTTATGAGGGGGAAGTCATGTTTGACCAACCTTCTAGCCTTCTATGAGGAAGTGACTAGGTGGAGGGATGATGGTAGAGCAGTAGATGTGGTTTTTCTTGATTTCAGTAAGGCATTCCCACAGCATTCTCATAGATAAGCTAAGGAAGTGTGGGCTTGACGATCAGAGAGTGAGGTGGATCAAGAACTGGTTGGAAGGAAGAAGGCAGAGAGTTGTGGTCAATGGTGCAGAATCTAGCTGGAGGTCTGTGACTAGTGGAGTGCCTCAGGGGTCGGTGCTGGGACCAGTGCTATTTAATATTTTCATCAACAACCTGGATGAGGGAACCGAGTGTACTCTCAGCAAGTTCGCTGATGACACTAAACTGGGAGGAGTGGCTGACACACCAGAAGGCTGTGCTGCCATTCAGCGAGACCTGGACAGGCTGGAGAGTTGGGCGGGGAGAAATTTGATGAAATTCAACAAGGGCAAGTGTAGAGTCTTGCATCTGGGGAAGAACAACCCCATGTACCAGTACAGGCTGGGGACTGACCTGCTGGAAAGTAGCGAAGGGGAAAGGGACCTGGGGGTCCTGGTGGATAGGAGGATGAACATGAGCCAGCAATGTGCCCTTGTGGCCAAGAAGGCAAATGGCATCCTGGGGTGCATTAGAAAGGGTGTGGTTAGTAGGTCAAGAGAGGTTCTCCTCCCCCTCTATTCTGCCTTGGTTAGGCCGCATCTGGAATATTGCATCCAGTTCTGGGCCCCTCAGTTCAAGAAGGACAGGGAACTGCTTGAAAGAGTCCAGCGCAGAGCCACAAAGATGATTAAGGGAGTGGAACACCTCCCTTATGAGGAGAGGCTGAAGGAGCTGGGTCTCTTCAGCTTGGAGGAGACTGAGGGGTGACCTCATCAGTGTTTACAAATATGTAATGGGTGGGTGTCAGGATGATGGAGCTAGGCTTTTTTCAGTGATATCCAGTGATAGGACAAGGGGCAATGGGTGTAAACTGGAGCATAGAAGGTTCCACGTTAACATCAGGAAGAACTTCTTTACTGTGAGAGTGACAGAGCACTGGAACAGGTTGCCCAGGGGGGTTGTGGAGTCTCCCACATTGGAGATATTCAAGGCCCGCCTGGACAAGTTCCTGTGTGATGTACTCTAGGTTACCCTGCTCTTGCAGGGGGGTTGGACCAGATGATCTCTTCAGGTCCTTTCCAACCCTTGGGAGTCTGTGATTCTGTGAAATTCCTCAGTTGGTCTCTTTAAAGCCT